AGAACAGATTCGAGTCTAGATAGCACTTCTGAAAACCTCACCTCAGTTGTGCTCTGTGACCTTTCTCTTCCTTTTTTCCTCCTGATACTGTGATGTCATTGTGTGAGCATGATATCCTGCAGCCACTGCAGTAGGAAAAGACATCATGTCATTAGAAGCTTGGACTGGTTTTTACATGAATTTTCAACCCACCTCTTCAATTGGGCTTCCTTCAGGAGGGTGCTGTGGTTTGGGTATGATGCACTGCGTGCCCTGAGCTCTGTCAGACTCTGCATTCCCCCAGAAAGCTCCGCAGTGAGCAGGGTTGATTACACCACCTGCAGGGTACTCCTTTGGGAGATCCCAGTCCTCCATCTTGCAACTCTTTGTTTATGTCAAGTTATCAATTACTCTGTGCTCTAAGTTGGTCTGTGTTAATCCAGGGCCCCACTCTCCTGTTGTTGCTCCAGCTGCACTTCAGGCTTTGTTTGAACATCCAGAATGTGTTTGCTGTTTCCTCAGACTGGCATGAACAAGCATGCTGCCTTATTCAGTCTCATGGCTATTTGAATTCTCTTTGATATTGAGCCTCTTCTCTGTATCTAAAGTTGGCTTCTTGACCTTCATGGTTGACAAGTCATTTGCTACAGTAAATGTAGTACAGATTTTTTCCATAAGTAGTATGGAAATCATGGGTCACTGAGTTATTACTCTTATGCAAAGTGTTTGTTTTATTTTTGAAGGTTGTTCTCTAATAGCAGAAGCCCTCCAACCACAGTAACTTGAAAAAAACCCAAACCCCTTGTGACTCAAGTGATGTCACATTTGTAGGCAGCTCTGCTGTCACTTTGGTACTTTGGCTGCATAACAAACTTTGAAGAGAAGCATTACTAATCTGCTCTGTTTCTCTCTGCACACAAGCCTAGAGTGGTCCTGAAAGGTTTACATTTCTACGTTTCATGTTCTACTCAAGCTATTTCTAATTTTATTAGAGAAAGGGATCATATGAGAGCTGGTCACTGAACTGGTTTAGATAAGTGCTTTAAGGCTGTGTAGTGCTTAGGCTGCTTGAGAAAATCAAAGGGAAATGCTCAGTAGAATGTAAATGTTGATCATCTTCGGAGTCTTTCAGGAGAGTACCTTCTGGGGATGTTTTGAGAAATGAAGGGGAATGAGTTTATTTCTAAAACAGGCACACTCGTTCATGATTGTTGTAAATCCCCTTTTTTGTGACTTAAAACCTTTGAGGCTGTATCTATCCAAACAAAACCAGGGATAACCTTAGCTCCCCTCTGACTTTGTTTCTGAGCATCCAAGAAAAATTTAAATCATCCAATGATTAATTAACCAAGAACTTCTTTTGCAATTCCTGCCTGTGTTTAATGACAAAAGGTTAAATTTCAAAAAGCTTCATTTACAGGCATTACACACTCTGATACAATCAACCCGTGTCTCTGAATGGAAGGTGAGAAAATCTAATTTTTCCACCGCCTATCATCTATTTTTTGCTTTTCAAACTCATTTCACTACTATAAAGGAGGTGACATCTGGAAAGCCTGCTACTGCAGAGCGTGGGCAGGGACGGGTGGCACTGAGGAGTCAAAGTGGTGCATCTGTACTATATATCACTATCTCAGCTTTAGTTTCCTTCCTGCTTCACTGTGCATAATGATAGAATGCCTCCACTAACAGGTTTCCATGGCTGGCCTATTCAGTATATGGGAGAGATTGATACTTTGTTATACCATGGCTTATTTGGGAAAATATTAAAAATTTTTTCCAAATTGGAAGGGTTAAAGATAGTCTTTTAAGCTCATATTTAGGATGTGCTGGACCCTCGAGTCCCTCTATAAATAAAACTGCAGCAGAGAAAAGTTAATTCTCTTCAAAAATACACCTGAAGATGGTACAATGCTTTGTTGTTTTGGTTTTTTTTACACTGGAACACTGGCAAACAATGAAAATGTTTCTTTGAGGGCTAAGGCAGAACACATAAAGAAAAGTCTGAGTCACTACTGTCAAATGTTAAAGCTTCTCCATGTACTGCATCCTGTTTTCCTACACTGTTCTTTAGCTGATGGTCAACTGCTTCTCTTAGTGAATGGAACAGCCAATATCCATTCTTTTATCATGTACTTTTTCTAGAAAAGGAAAGCTAAATCTGGGAGGTTGCTTTTTTTTTTGGTTTGGTTTTGTTTTTGTTTTTTTTTTCAAAAAGAGGCACAACCCACACCTGTGAAACCAGTCTGTGATGCTGGGGCTATTCCTGTGCACGAGTGGAGGGAGGAAATGAGTGCATGCACCTCATAAATAAACCAAGGGTCACAGAAAAGTACTGAGTCCTCAGTTCCTCTGAGTCTTATGTTCCACTCTTTTTCTGAGTCCAAAGAACCTCTGTTTAGGCAGGATAAAAAAAAAAAAATTCACTAGAAAATAAGCATTGTGTATTGCTTTTAAAAAAATAATAGAAATACCTATCTCTGGACTATTCTAAAACATGTAAATATTCTTAAATGTCTTAAAGTAATGTAAAAATTCTTTCAGTTGGACCATCAGATCATTGCCTATAGCTTCTGCCTTTTATAAAGTATGGATGGCACTATAAATTGTCATAAAATATATCCAGATCTCTTGGACCTTGTTTAAACAACTAGTTTTGTATAGCCCTGCTATAGCAACAGATATATAATACTGAGTGTATGACAGCACCCCAGAGCCAGGTCTGAATTTCTGCTGCACTGTTTATTTCTTTGTGAAACGTGGTCATGTTGCCAGGGATGCTGGAGTGGGCTGGAATATCTCTGGAATTAACTAACTGGATGATTGATTGACCTCTGCAGTTGATTTCAGGTCTATACTTGCAAATAAGGTGAAAGACTAAAATACGTACCAAGGTTGGGTTTTGTGGAGTGGAGTAGGTTTGGTTTGGTTTTTTTTTTTTTTTTTTTTTTGAAAAAGAAAAGACCTTTAAGTTCTCTCACTGTACCAAATCATGAAGTAGGGAGAGATGCATGTGGAAAAGAGGCAGAAGTCCCTTCTTTCCTCCTCAAATACTCTGACCTATACCAGCTGTGTAATACAAGTTGCTCTACAGTCTTCTCTGCCAGCAAGGAGGCATTAAAAAATAAATGAAGATTCTAACTATTCACGCTATGAAATATGATTTTAGTCAGAAATTTCATACAGGTGTTTGGCTAAATTGTAGCAAACTTGTGAAACTGTGGGGGAAGCAAACAAAGACTGTGGCCATCCTGATTTAAGGGATTTACAGTCGAAAGAACAATGCTACTTGAAGACAGTGTTTGTTCAGAGAGTAGCTGATATTTCATAGTTCTCCTTTGTCTTCTCTGAGGTTGAAATAATGCAAGAAGTGACATTTGGTCCATGTTGACTGTATCAGAACAAACATCGTGATCCTCCTTGTGTGGAAGGCTTATTTGCTGCTCCTGCTTCACAGAAATTAGATTTATTCCTAGTGATCCTGGAAAATTAATTCGTGTAAGAGTGGCAGCTGGAGACTGGTTTACATTGTTTCAGGAGCATTCAGGTTTTGCAGTCAGACTCCCTCAGGTGTGTACATGTTTAGCAATAATACTGCAAGGCCAGGCTCTTTTCTTCTGCATTTTTTTAATTTTATTTTTGGCCCTGAAAGGAGGAAGATGTGATTTGCAGTGGCTTCCAGCTACAACAGTTGGGGATGGTGGAAGTTGGCAGCATCTGCCGTTTTGTAACACAGGTTTTGTCTTCCCTTGGAGATCCCAAAGTCCCCAAAGGGTGGCAGTAAGAGCACGCAGTCTGCTCTCGCCATGAGGTGACGTCTTAGGGTTTATAGCTTCTCCCTTTGGTGTGGAATAACAGGGTGGGCCCGACTAAGCTCCTGTTATTTTGGAAAAATGGAAAATGTGAGCAAATCTCGTATTGCCACCCATGTGATACCAGTTCCCATCTCATGATGGGAACTCATGAAGACCAGGGCACTCTTTGATTTATTTTTCATTGTAAACTCTAATGTCACAAGATCTCAAACACCTGAGTTTTGGTAGTACTCATGTGCATAGTTACATAGTTCAAGAACAATCACAACTTTTTTTTTTTTCTTAGTTCTAATCCCTACCCACTGTGGTATAGGCTACTCAACATTTTTGGTGTAAATTTAATGCAACATTTGCAGTGAAATCACGTCATCTTTGATGGTAGTATTGGTAGTGTAAGGCACAGTCTGGATCTTGCCAAGGTAGAATCACAAGCAATGGGACTGCTAATGAGCCTCACTGATTGCTGCCTCTCTACGTGAGCAGCCGTGGGTGATCTGTGTGCTCAGCACATGATTAGTGTCAAAAGGAGATTGAACTGTGGGCTCAGTGGTTAAACAATTTCTGTATTTGAGATTTAAGTGCTGGTAGCTGGGTCAGTATGAAAAACAGGGAGGGAATTTAGACTTGCTCCTCTTTTTGCATGTGTTTTGGGGGGGTTTTTTGTTTGTTTGTTTTATTTTTTGTTTGTTTGTCCTTTCTTGGGGGTTGTGAGGATGTATCTGAGTAGGTCAGGATGGCCTATTCCAGATAACTAAGATTATGGTTGTGTAAAATGGGTAAAAAAAAAGTGGTGGTGGCCAAACTAATATTTGGATACCAGGATGAGTAGTGGCACAGTGGGATGGAAGGGAATCATGTGTTTCAATACCTCAGTAATTATGGTTTAAAGATCACTTAAAGATATAAAATGACAATAAAACTTTATTTTAAAGTTGATTTCATGGAAGAGTTGCTTATTATTTTGCAATAAATTAAAGAGAAAAGATGCTACATACCTGCCTGTTGAATACAAACTTATTAAAAGTACAGCTTATATAATTATTACATAATTTAAAATTTATCAATTTTAATACCTGACAATTTATAATATATTTACATAGCACATAAGCACTCACACTCATAAATACTTCACAGATTTTTAAGAAAGCTATCAGTCTTGTCTGAGCATTTTCTTATGCACGAAATTGTCAGTCATCTTTTGTTTTCCTTCTCAATTTGGTAATCTTTTCCCAGCATTCAGCTTGATAGTCTTGCACTTCCTAATGATCAGCAGTTCTTTGGGATCTAAGACTTGTTTCAATGTTCATAGTGTAGTTCAAACAACAAATAGTATCCATATCCTGTCTTGACTCTATGGTGTATGGGAGGAGAGGATTTTCTCCTTGTGCTGCTCTCACTCTTGTGACAGCTTTGACAGCTTTTATCCTGCATTGTCCCGGCTGTGGAGCTGTTTGCATCTCCCTCGTGCTCTTCCTTCCAAGGCAGGGATTTTCCTTGCCAAGATCCAACCACCCTGAAGGATCTTGTCAGGATACTTGACACAGAGTTTACCTGGCTCTTTGCTGCCTCAAACTCTTCTTATTTTGAAGTGTTGGGTTGCAGCTGGTTCAAAAGGTTCAGGTAGGTTTTGGATTTTAAAAACCTGGGATATGAATCCCTTTCCATAAGGGTATACACTGTTTTCTGGGCTTCATCAAAACTTGTGGGAGTTGGGTCTTGAGCCTTTTTGGCTGTTGCTTCTCTCATCTGATAGTCAATATTGATCTGGAAAGGAAAAAAACAAATGCTATTGAAAACTTAATCTTTCTATATATATCTAATGCTTCATCAATACACAAATTTTCATCCTTAGAACTCAGTGTGATGGTTCAATGTCAGCATTGCAAAGTGAGGGAATTTACATTCTTATATTCCAGTTAGGCACAGAAATGGCTGTTCACTATAGAAGTGCAGTTTCTTACGGAGTCACAAGTAATACAGCTCAGAAACGGAGTACTGAGAGGAACAGGCTCCAGTTAAAGAGAGGAATCTTGTGTTGATTATCTCCAGTTTGAAATATGATCAACATACCGAACTTTCAATTTCCTAGAAGGTCCACATTTTTTAAAAGACAAGAAGTTATCCCTGGTGCTTCTACTAACAAACTCTTGAGGATCTACAGACACCATCAGTAATTCAAACTGGGTTTGAAAACTCAGCAGGAAGCATCATGTGCTAAGCTGCTGAGGCCTTTGCTGAGCTCTGCTGGTGGTGCTCCCAAGTACTGGCCTGTATCCTGTGACTCTGTGAGATCTGATTATCTCATGGCTGAAGACAGCAATGATGCAAGTATGGTCGTGCAAGCATGTGTCTGTCTCTTCCTCTTATGAACTGAGTGAATGTGTGAGTATCTCAGTGAAGATACACTTCTATTTTTGGACTATCCAGAATACCTGTATTGTAATGCTGCACAGATTGACTCTGTACATACCTGTTTAATAGCATCTGACTGAACAAACTCCTCATAAATCCTCTCTGCTTTGCCCTGTAAGTGATCAGACTTGCTTTTCTTGTAATCCTCACAGGCCAGCCAGAACTCGATGTTTTCCTCGCTGAACTCTGACTTCAGGAACTCCCGAAAGATACCTTGACCACCTAAAGCCAAACACAAAAACATCGTCACTTATTGACCAGAAAGGATAAAATAAATAGCAGGAGTTGTATTGAAACATGACACAAAATCATGCCAAAATACATTGTTCTTCCCTTCTTCACCATACTACAGACAGTCTAATATTAAAGCTGGTGGGAGTCTTCCTAATTATGTTTAGAATTTTTAGATCTAGAGCTTGACTACCATATTATATCAATGGGTTCTAGTCTTTCCTAAACAGATTGTCTTAAGGTACAAGTGGAGAGAAAATTCCAAGTTAAACTGGTGTATTATCCAGGGATAGAAGACTGAACAAAAAGCCCTGAAATGAGGAGTTTATTTGCTCCACTGAAAATGGAGAGAACAACAACAACAACAACTTGGAAACAAAGCTGTACTAGTGGTCATGTTACAATAGAGCTGTAAAAGATGGGAATGCAACTGCCCCTTCTCTGGCAGTGTTTTATATAATGCTACAGCTTTGGCTATTTGGTGAGATTGGATAAAATATTGTCCTCAAAGTCATAATGTAGTAATAGACTTACTTTGGCTGGCCAAGAGCTTTTCCAAAGACTGTGACCACTGAATAACTTCCTCTGTAGAGAGCCTAAGATGACAAGAGAAAGAAAAAAAAAAAACTTTAGGCAAGAAATCATGGGGGGTTTTTTGCATATCTGAAGGAGATAAATGTTATTATTATGTTCTAGGAATATGTATTTACTGAATTTATGGTTTTCTCATAATCTGAGACCCTGGAGGCAGCCTACTTTGAGAAAAATAATCAGAGATGGGAAAAATGTGCAACTATGATGTTATCCTAAATTCTGTTCCCAGGAAGATAAGCTTCTACTGAAATTGCAATAAAGTAATTTTCTACCTGTAATTCTATTTCCAAATTTCTGCAAGACTGGTAATACCCTCGTTCTTCACTGAAGTGTGAAGTTTCTTGTAAATCTTTTGAAAAGAGATACAATGCTCCTCCGATGAAAATGGATTTAACTGAGGTGTCCTCTCCTTCACTGTTTTATGCAAACACATCAAATCACTAAGAGAATATCTCTAATTCCAGGAATAGTTTCTATTTACTAATGTTCACCTCTCTTGCCATTTGGAAATTCTAGGCATTATTATTATAAGATTTGTTGTTTTAGAAGTAGTTTAGAAGTGAAGTAGCTTATTGCACTGTAAACTAGCTATAGTTATAAAATATAACTTGTTGTATCTCAGTACTTACAGGACATTTCTAGTGTTGGAAGTCTTGATCCCAGATTCAATATGTGGTACCATGCACTTCAAATAGTTTTTGAGATCTGCACCGCTGAAACAATGAACAGACGTTTTTGTAATCCATAAGCATTACAGTTGCATTTAAATTCCACTTAAGTTTTCTTCAAACTTTTAAGCAGAGACAGACAGCTCCATCCTATGACCAAAGTCTGGGAAGCTACATACCCAAGCAATTTTTTTGAAAGGACTAAGAGGCCCCCCGTGTATCCAAATCTACTTCTCATTACTGAAAGCAATCAATTAATTGGTATGCATCAGCTCAATCCTTTTTTTGTTGCTGCAGTCCTGGGCTTTCAGCAGGTTTTGCAGTCATTTAGCCTGAGACACAGTGCTATTTCTTAATCTCTAAGATGAGTGGAGTATTATTTTTGCTTCTAATACATTAAAGTTTATATAAAGTTGTATATACTTACAAAGACTTTTGCTTCTTTTTATGGATTTTGCCTTCTGCAAGCTTGCAGTCTTCTTTTCCATTTAATTCAGTCATGTTGTGAGAAAAAAAAAATCCTGGCATTTTACTTAACTTTAGCACGAAGCGACTTTTGCAATGATAATCCTCCAAGCACCAAATGTCAGCTCCCGGCCTCTGCTGCTGCCTTTTATTGACGCAGGCAGTCCTTCTAGTTGGTGTGAACAGATCTGTTTATCATGTATCCTCACCACAAACTGGAAGTTCCCTTTTTTCAGTGCACAGTGACGTGAGTCTTTTGAGAAAGAAAACAGACAGCGGTGTCTCGTGGTTGAGGCTAAACCGGATGACACTGAATTACTTTTCGGATTGTTATGTATGTCTGTGTGTGTCTGTTACAGAAAAAAAAAAAAAAATCCCCTCTAGAACTTTGAATCCTCGTCCCTTTCTGATTGGCACTTGCAAATCAGAAATATTTCTTAGTTTTGTCAAATGAGCTGCACATGCTGCCATTTTTTAGTTCACAAAATTCACCTGTTACATGCCTGCAACCTGAAATTTTGAATTGATTAGGTGGGCTCAGCAAAATACTAGAAAAAACTACTCTAAGATACCCCAGTATTAAAGTTCCATATGCAACAAGCTATTTGCAAGTCACCAATTACTTTTCAAACTAGAATAGTGTATTGGACAGAGGCATCTGGTTTGTTTAGACATGTGCTGTGAAAATATTTAGGAGTGATTTTCACAGGAAAGGGTTTTGAAGCAGCAAGAGCTTTTTTAGTTTGGTGTAATTTTACCAAGTCAGATAATTTGGAAGCACACTGATGTATTTCAGGAACACCTCCATAATTTTAAGTGACTTGGAGTGTATTAAATATTAAGTTAAAGAGCAGCTGTTGTAACGACAGTGTGAACATTACAGCAGGTTTGAGGGAGGTGTGTGTTCTTTGTATGTACTTGAGTTCCCTGCAAAGAAGAAACCACGGGTGTGATAAACTATATATATTTTTTAGATTGTTTTTGTTAAGCTTACTAACACTTCATGCTATGGATGTGTGATTTCTATATGTATTTCTCTCATGGCTGTTAAGGCTACATATATACATTTTAAAGAGTTTTTAATGTCTGGAATGATGGTTTAGATGTTGAACTACTTAATCTGGTCCCTGGGCATCCCAATTTCTGCTTGATTGCTTGTTGGGTTTTTTGTGTTGTGGATGGTTTTTTTTTTTTTTTGTTTGGTTGTTTGGGTTTTTTAAATTTTTATTCTGTGACATTTTGTAGATTTTGTTGTACTAAATAACACCTACAACTTTGATTACTTATAAACACCTCATGAATGATGTGAACAGGGCTGCATATGACCGCGGTAACTGCTTACACCTCTACAACTTCCTAGTGAGCTGTGATGCAAAGGACTGCGAGACCCAAAGCTGCCTGCAGACGGCTGTGCACGCAAGGACACACCGTCTGCATCAGGGCGGTTTTAACCACAGGAGGCCACTGATCCCGAGTGTTAGTGACACAAATGTGTCTGCAGGAAATATTTATCTCGGTGCTATCAGGTAAACACTGACCTTTGTGCAGCAGAGATATTTACCAACTGCTCTTGGCTGCCCTGAATAAGGCGAAAAAAGGAAGAAGATGTTACCAGTGCTGTATTTGTTTTCGTACTTTGACATTCAGCGCCCTCAGCATCTCATTGTGTTTCCTCAGTTAGTAGCTGTCCTCGGTGAATTGCTGGGAGGGTTTTAGAGGTGCTGCATCCAAACTCATCTCTGAAAGGTGCAATAAAAGGATAAAAGGCGACAGACAAAAGTCACATCGAGGGGGGGAAAACCCGAAATCACTATTTCCTGTCATATCTCCCGGTACTTTGTAGGCTGAGGCTAGAAGCAGGGCAATGTCTTGAACTTACAATGACAAGTTCGGATAAACATCCACCAGAGAAGTTCTGTGAGTCTAAGAGGGACTAGATAGGATTGATTCCTTGAAGAATAGGATGGTTTGTTTGTTTACACCTATTCTCAATGCAAGACTGTTGACAGTTCGTTTGCAAGACAAGGAATGTCTGTTCTCCATTTAAAATTAAATTACTATCTTTACCGTTGGGATTTGTTAAATATATCAATGCATGTAACAGGTGTGGCATCAGACCTTCCTCTAGAAAGGGATTATCCTGTGGTCTTTGTACTTACCCTTCTTGCAAAAAAATATTCTTTTGAGTAATGAAAGAACAGTATTCTTATAATTTACATCAACATTATGCTGCTGTCTCACAATATTTGAATTGTTTTCCAGGTTATTTTGTAGAGCAGATTAGTTATATTAATATTACATAACAATGTCACTTGTAGAGACATCATACCATTGGACTCTAGGGGTATAAACCTTTGCTTTTAGGATCCTGCTGCTAATAAAGACGGTCAAAAGTGAAATAGGAATAGGTGGGCTACTGTATTGTGAACGAAGAAAAAGCTGTGGTTAACAAGCAGACCACCTGGCACCAACTGATGTCCTGATGTTCTATTGTTCTCACATCCTCAATTAACAATGCTCTTAATATAATGGAGAGTCCTTTCCAGTCTTCCAAATCAGTAAACCCCCTTCTCTGCACTACTGCTGCTGCTCTTTATTCCTGTGCAGAGGAAATCACTGCTGCCTCTCTGGTTCACTCTATGCCAGGTCTGTTTGTCTACTTGTGTAAAGATCCATGTAAGCCCAGGAAATGCGGAAAGAAGCCTGGGAGTTAGGAGCATCTGATGTGGAGAAGGGATGAAGAACGTGTGCCTAGGAAAGAAGTCAGGCTCATAAACTGCTAGCTTAGGTCATAGGAAGTGTAAAGACAATGTAAAGCAACAATATTATCATATCTTCCTGTAAGCAGTGCTCAAACTCTGCAAAATTGAAGCCTGTTGCATTTAGTAGCCGACATCTCAACATGGGAGTGTGATTATTATTCACTTTTTTCCTCCACTGTGGATAAATACTTTCTTCCTCTGAGTAACTCTGATCTTCAAGACATCCTTTTTTCCCTCAGTGGCATGTTTCACTGTCTCTGATTCACTCTTTCTACCCAAACCC